TGGGGTGGGCTGGGGTGTGTCTGGGAGGCACCGGGCGGCTGGGGAGCCCCCAGCCCTACTCCCACCGCAGCAGCCGAAGCCCCCTGGCCACGGCCAGGAGGGGGATTTATGAGTGAAGAAAGCATAAATCTTTGCTTGGGTGGGGTGGCGTGGGATGGGCACGGAGGGGAAAAGAGGGAATGGAGGTACTGCCACGGCAGGCAGTATATGCCGTGCACAGGTGATGTACCGTACCGTAGGTGGGAGCTGCGAGCTGAACGGGAGCTGGTAAATATGTGAAAATGGCTGTTAAAAATCCCTCTCCCCAGCACACCCGCAAACATATATGCACGTGCTGCCTTCTCCCTGTGTACAGGCATAAACCCTGAACAGTGATGTCCTGCACCACTGAATGGGACAACTTTCTCCCTTGTTCCCTCGCTCCATCCCACAGACCTTCCACAGGCACAGAAAACGATACTCCTCCAATACATTTTTTCCCCCCAAACAGAATAGCTTCCAAACCCACAGAAATCATCCCTTTTCCTTCCGTATAGATCTCAATTAATTTCCATGCCAAAGTAATTTCTACACCTATTGATCTCTGCCTGCAAATTGCTGTGAACTATTGCGAGGCAGCTGTGCGTGTTCGCACACGGAGGCAGCCCCATGCACGTGTGGCAGCAGGAGTGCATGGGTCTGCATGCACAGGAGATTATGGCGATGCAGGAGCCCCAGCAAACATTAATGCGCACATGCACTTGCTCCCAAGCACATCTGGAAAGTTACAGCACCATTTTTTCTCAGAATATACATGAGCTGGATAGCTCTATCTGTCATTGGGAAAAAATATCCCAGACAACAGTTAAACCAAAGTGTGACAATATTGGGTGTGTCAAATAATATTTTTTTAACTGCTGGATTTTTAGGATTTCATCAACCAAAATTCAAATTTTGCTTATTTCACTTACTTAGTCTGGGAGGCACAGTCAGATGCTGTTCTCTATTTAGCACTAATGTCACTGCATCAGCTCCTCTGCCACAGCATAGAGTTACTTCTAATTTATTTTTAATATAAAACTGCCTGCAAAAGAGAAGAAAATTGTCTTAAGTTATTACTAAGGTCTTTGCTCTTTAATTACATCTAAATACATTATTAATACAAATATTCATGCATGTGTGCACGCTTATACAAATAAATGCATATGTATATAGATATAGTTTCTGGAATACCCCTCAGTACAGACTCCTACATAATCATATCCTGTTGCTATGATATCATTGCAGTTCCCAGTACACCATTTATTTTAAGAAAAGCAAACAGCATTTCAAAAAATTCTAGCTAGTGATCTACATCTGTATGCAATTTAAGAAAGTGTATTTTGGGGTCAAGAAGGTATCAGCATTAGTCCTGGGTTACAGACTAGAAAAAGAAAATAATGATATGGTAATGACATTCAGAGAAGATACTATACTGGGAAGAGTTGCAAGTACCAGCTGACACAGAAGTAGACCAAAGGATTAAGTAACAAAAATCAGATTCAGCTTCAGAAAATGCATGCAGAGAAAAAGAAGGCAAACTGTGCAATCTTAAAAGAGGAGAGGTAACAAGTGGAGCAGTAGAAAGCAGTGGACATCACATTTGAGGGAGAGATCTGTGACGTACGTCGCTGCTGACGACACCATGCCAAGGCACTGAGGAGCCGTGCAATGGCGTTTTGAATTACACCTGGGGGACTTAGGAGCCTCTGCCTTGGCCCCTGGAGTTGTTGGGGGCTCATCTCCAAGATGAAGAGAGGGTGTCATGAGCTTGTGGCCACTTGCCAACCCATATGGCTTTTCCCCATGCCCTTGGGAGATGGGAATCCCCTGGTCAAACGTGTCTGAGAGCTTCAGCCAGATCTCCCTTCAGTGACAATGAAGAGAAACGGGAACTTTGAGGGTGTGACTCAGACCATCCTAAAGCAGGAGCCTAAACTAGGTCAGACAAATCACGCTTCAGAAGTGTTTTAGAAGCTTCATTTTCTTCCCACTGACAAGGCCTTTTTAGGGAACCTCCCTGTGCGAGGGAGCCCTGACGAGGAAAGCCTTCCCAGCCCCCACCTTTCTCAGACACCCACCTCGAGGGGGAGCAGGCTGGCAGCAGAACTGTTCTGGTACAGTCAGGGAGGGTCAGGACATTTTCCTGTGCTTACCTCCATCAGTCACAGCCAAAGGCAGAGCCAGCTCTCTTCATGCCCAGCCCCACGAGCACTGTATGCTCCAGTTTATCACAAGTAACTTTCGGGACACAGACAAAACCTCTTCAATGTGTTCCCCAAACATACAGACTTAGTGGTGAGTAGCCAGTCCTCTATAGGCTCACATCCATGTTTCCTCTGAATTTATCTTATTACAGAGAAGAACAATACATTGAAACCTGAATTTTCAAGGCATGTCAGTTCCTAACACCACTGTCTTTCAAATCAGGACTCTTTAAGTAGATTTAAAAATTGAACTTGAAATTCTTCAGCAAATCATATGGTTCTGACAATAATATCCCAGCCATGGATATCAATTGCCCTGCCATTTTGGCTGTTTTCACTTCAAACTGCAAAGTAAATTATCTCATAACACAGCGGGAAGAGAGGACAAGTCCACAGCAACGAAAAGGCCAAAGAGAATGACAGGAAAATAAAGGCACAAACTTCAGACAGGGAGTTAATGAAAATGAGAAGCAAAAATTAAGGGAAGAAAAACAGGTGAATATCCCTCTCTTAAAGTCCCCAATTGAAGATGGGATGCTTTCATCCAAATTACACCTTTGTCTCTTCAGGGCACTGCCAGCTCTGGCTCATTCAGCACTTCTTCAGAGTCGCAGGATAACACTGCGTCACGCAGTGTGGATGTGCCCTGAAAGGCCCCTTTGACCTTGGCTTTTGAATCTACACAACTAAAAGGAAGAGCAGTTCCAAAGAATAACATGAATGGGGGACCAGGGAAGTCAGCTAGAAGAAGGGGGTGAGCAACGACCGTAGATTTTAAAAGCTTCATCTGTGAGACTTCACTGAATGACAGCTAAGGAGGTGGAGAATTGTGATATTTTCAAAAGCTACAAGCCTCGAGAAAGGAATCATCTGGAGTGATATATAGTCCACTGTTTGGTGTATGCTGCATGTTGCTTCACCATGAAGGGGCATGTGGTTCATATAAAGTAATTATTATGATGAATTCTTTAATTCAAAGTCATATCTTTAATTTTAAAGGGTAAAGATCATTTCAAAGTAGCAAGACATATTAGTGGTTATTACAAAATAAGGTGGGTCAAGTAAGAGACATAAAACTGTGCTTTTAAAGCCTGTTCAGCGCCTGTTCAGTTCTGCTGCCAGCCACCCCAGGAGCTTGAGGTCCATATAGATTGAAAGAAAAGGATCTTCAGTCCAGCTGCTAATTTTGGTTCAATAGCACGACATCAGATTCAGTTTCATTTTGAAGAAGCGCATAGTTGCAACCTGCTCCTGGGACTGTAATCAGGTTAATTCCCTGGCCAAATAAAATTAAATATGAAACCAAGAAGAAAACAGTTTGCCTATAAGAGCTGTCCCAGTGGTAACCATACTAAACTGAAGAGGCGTCTCTTTGAGAGAAGTACTGTGAAAGTCCCGTTACTAGGGATATTTAAAGCTTCAGTAAAAACAGCTCTGAAGTGAGCAACTTGCTTTCATTGGGAGATAGACTGGGTTTTCTCTCTATTCATATCTTCCACATATAGTAGTAGCCCTGCCTTTTGTTAGCCAACTTTCATGCTGGCGGGAAAAAAGCCAATTTCATAAAGATTTTTTGGTATCCTCATTTGAATAGGCATTCCTGAAAATCCCACTGTGGGGCCACTTGTAATTTCAGTCTCCTCAGTAGCTTTGCAGGTCTGGTCTCATTTGTCCTCACTTTCAGTCACCTATGTCTTAATGACAAAAACCAGTGCAGTGCAACACTACAACCAAACTTCTTTTCTAAATGATTTAGACATAGTCATGAATATCCTCAGAGGAGTACCCATTTTTCAGTATAAGGATCACTTATGTCAATTTACCTTGGATTTCACTTAATCCTGAATTATTAATATTAGAAAACGAGACCCTAGTTTATTTTGACCTAAGACCAAAATAAGAGTTTTAAAACCATGATTTTCAAAGCCACAATGCCACTTACTCTTGCAGAGAAGGCTTCAGAAAATGCCAGGAATGCTCTAATTCATGCAGTGTCTTTAATGACTGCTGGGTTACTTATCCTGGACGATACTGAGCTCACGTGACATTAGCACCTGTTGCCATCAAGCTAGTCACAGGGATGTGCACAGGCGCTCTGCCTTTGTTCCCTGTGATTTCCATTTTTCTTCCCATGCCTGCACAGCTGGGCTCAAAGCACTGAAGACACCTGACTTTACAATATCCCACGTAATAAGAAATGGGCTCAATAATTTCCCTGTTTTCAGCATTTTAGAAAAAAAATGTTTTCTATAAATTGTGTGGTATATACAAACTCAAATACCTAGGTAAAACCAAGGGGAGAATAATTTTAACATGCACAAAGAATGATCTGAACAACCCCTAGGTCAATGTTAATTATTATTGAGCTTCAGAATCATCAAAAATTCAA